GTGCGTTTCCTTCGGCCACGTCTACCTGTGGTGGATATTGACTTTTTTCTTTGTGTGGTAGTAAAAACCTGACCGCGTGGCATAATGGCGACGAGCTCGTGCTCGCTGTTGCGGCGCAGAACAACAACACCATCGTCGTGGTCCACTCCGTCGGGCCCCTCATCCTCGAGCCGTGGATCGACCATCCGAACGTTACCGCGGTGAGTTCGATGGCGGTGCTCGAAGGTTCGATGGCGCTGATGCGGTTTGCAGGTCCTGTGGGCGGGCGTGCCCGGGCAGGAGGCGGGCAACTCGATCACGGACGTCCTGTACGGCGATTGGAACCCGTCCGGCCGTCTCCCATACACGATCGCGAAGCAGGCGTCGGACTATTCCGCGCAGCTCATTCTCGGTGGGCAGCCCTCGGACATCCTCAGCATCCCGTACACCGAGGGGTACGTCGCCACATCTATACCCAATTATCCGCGACGCGCATTGACCGCAATTCTTTTTGCAGGCTGAATGTGGACTATCGACACTTCGACAGCTTCAACATCACGCCGCGGTTTGAGTTTGGGTTTGGGTTGAGTTATACGAATTTCACGTATAGCGAACTGCACATCGCCGAGGTGGGGCACCAGGCATCGACGGATGCGGACCTCGAGAAGTCGTGGGCGGCTGGGAACGCGACGCCCATAGCAGTTGGCTCTTCGACGGCGCTGTGGTACGTCTCCATCCTTGTTCTTGTTCGACGCTCATTGAACATGATGGCAGGCTCCACCGTCCGCTATTCAATGTTACGTTCCACGTAGAAAACACCGGGCCCGTCTGGGGAGGCGACGTGTGTATTTTCCCCTCGGCTGTCGGCCCAACGACTGATATCTCGGCGCACAGATCCCCCAACTCTACCTCCACATGCCCGCCTCCTCCGGCGAGCCGCCGTCCATCCTGAAGGGCTTCACCAACGTCGAGGTCCTCCCGGGCGCGACGAAGGAGGTCGCCATCACGCTCTCGCGGTACGACCTGAGCTTCTGGGACACCGTCGCGCAGGGCTGGCGCCGGCCGAACGGGACGATCGGCGTCACGGTGGGGACGAGCTCACGGGACGCGCGGCTGGAGGGGAATATCACGATCGCATAGCATGGACGGATGGACAACGAACACGGACAACGAACATCTCACGACATTGCCTGCATACACGTAATGGACTAGCGATAAATCTAGATCTAGACATCTATTCACATACTAGCACTCGGAGGACTTTACGCACGTATTTAGGCGATTATAGAATTCGATGATGGGGTGGGGTGCCCCAGTAGTGGAGGGTACGCTGAGGCAGATGCATGAATGCAACTCTTGGGCAACTCGACGAGGTTCACGATGAGAAAAAGTTGAAACGACGACTCGGTCTCCAGGAGTTCGAACGTGACGCTCTGCCACGACGTCGCTTGCTCGCTTTAGTGATATGGAGTCAGCGCGAGGGAGCTGCGATCCAGGCGGACTCTGCCAACTTCGTAAAAAGTGCGTTTTGAGGGTTGCCAAGGACGCTCAAACAACCGCTCTCGACTAGGTGGTCAAGACAGGAGACGAATGACGGGGGCGGAAGCAATTTAAAGGCCATGACGTTATGGTGAGCGGGCAATGCCATCATGGCAGAGAATGCTTTTGCTCCGTTCCGGCCAGCGTGAAGATAGGATCCTCTGGGCTGCCAGGACCTCATGGAAAGACGTGGAAGCTGGACGAAAAACTTGACAGGACAAGTACGCGCAAACAACCGCTCTCGACCGAATGCGGTAATTCGGTCTTCGGGTGAATCAAGTCGACTTGCAGGGAACGGAGTTCATTTTAAGGAACAATTATTTTATCTTATTAATCCACACAGAACAGGCCTGGCCACTTTGGGCGCGATTATTCGACGAAACCAATCAGATCTGGATGCCCGTGCATCCAAAGTTGACGAGACCATTCTGCATCAAGGATCAGACATGGGACCTATTGATAAATTCACGACACTTACTTGGGAGACGTTCGTGCAGCACACCGCTTGTTTTTCACAAGAGAACGAGGCTCCGAGGACCGAATCGCAGTCAAATGCACTGAGGAATTTCCACGGATTAGGTTGCAAAAGAATGTACGCCAGAGAACTCACATGAGGCCTATGACGCCGGCGAGCAATCCAAGGTCAAGGGGACCCAGGCTGGCCAAGGCGGCGGTCGGGTCTGACTGCATGATGTGTGAGTATGAAGACTGTAGGGAGCCATGAACGGACGTTTTGGTTGGTATTGCAGCACTTGGAGGTGCCCGTGTTGCACTTGGAGACTTTCCTGAAACTCGAATGAGCCATTTGGCCGCACACAAAAGTAGGAACGTACCGCGCAACGGCGCCCTCAGGAGCGGCGAAGGCACTTGCAAGGAGCGAGGCCACAACGAAAGCGTGGGGAATACGGAAGAGCATTGTAGGACGATTTGCGATTTGCGGGGGCGAGTCAGTTGTGGTGGGTCGAAAGCTGAACTACTGAAGAAACAGCGAATCGCTCCTACTTTTATAACCTCTGAACCGTGTGAAGATTCCAAAATTAAATTATATGAAATGCAGTGGTACCGACCAGCCGACCCGGGAGGAGAAGAGAGCTAGGATGGAAGCGCCGGCATTTGATGGTCAGTTTCAGTCGGACATCCTCTGGCGGGGTCGGCATATCAAATGCTGGGCTACAGGACATCGGGCACCGCTACTAGTACTTACTTAGCTACTACAATCTCGTCGTTCAACACGCTCATCTGCGGTTCACTGTTTGCATCGCCGCTGCCTCATTTTAGGCTGGTGCTCGTAGCTCAATGCAGTGGCACCGCGCACCCTTACTGCCTCAGACACGCTGAATTCAAGTCTTTTCAAGATATTCAGAGGTTGAAAATATATTATTTTTCAATTTTCGAAGTCCTGTGGAATCACCTGGATAATTTTCTGGTAGTGAGATAATTTTCATCCTCTGTCCAGCTCTATTACGACCCTCAATGAATTCCTCCGCTCCTCTCGTCACCGTTCACAACATAGGACTTCATCCTCCAGCATCTTACACTCCCTCTTAGTTTCCAGCTCATTCTCAGAAACTTCACTCGTGTCCGGTACAACTGATTTCACGAAATCTGGTTAAAAACATAGCACAGCTTCGCGGAACTGCTCCTTTCCGTCTGAATCATACGAGCCTTCTGATTTTGCGCGCAGGGAAAGGGGCAACCGAATAAGCACGGACTGAGAGCCGAAGAAGGGACAGTTCTCGGGGATTTCAAAATCAGAAGCGAGATCCAGATCTGAGTTATAACAAGGGATTCAACACCGGTACAGACGGTACCCTGCTTTAGCTTGGAGTGAATTCAAATGGACGCAAGGAGGAAGATGAAATAGCGGGCGGCGTTAGTGTCGGATATTTGTGTTGCACCACAGCTGTATGCAAACGGATAGTTCGAAATTCGGTACTGCACCCAGCGTCGAGCCCCCTCGGCAGATTTATTGTCGAGACATAAGCAAGACTTGGCATATAAACGTCGCTGCACCAAGAGACTTGAAGCGAGTAGTGGAATAAAATGATGGTGCCGAGAACGAAGACATTACGGCCGTCTTCGCTTGCATTTCCTTCAAGTTGCAGGAGATAGAGAGGCTCGGAGAAGCCGCCGATCCTATTCAGTTCTAATTATGGAATTCGTAAAAACGGGGGCCAAGAGATCAAAGCAGAGTCACCCATAAAATCGGGAGGCTTGTAGGCAAAATTCGTCGTCGTGGTGAAAGGTTGAGCTGGGCCAACTGGCTTTCGAAAGCCGATCAATTTGCGCATTCTCGGCCGGCCATTGCCGATCCTCTGCATTTATGATTCATTCAGCCTCGCCGTCCTGGTCATTTCCCGCGTAGAGCCAAGTCCGCTGTCAAGCCATGCGCCCACCCACATCGGATTAATACTTGGCCGTTGACGTGAGCGATCGACGCTTGACCGACACAAACGGCACTATTTCCGCTGTATCTCGCCCATTTGTTATTCGATCCTGACTTTCATAGACTAGTTCGACTCGGAAACTTCCCTTCCTCCACACCCCGCTTATCCTTATTCGAAAGGTCGGGATACCGCCGCGAGGCACGTCGAGGAGAGCCGAAGAGACGAGAATTGCGATTGCCGGGATATGATTGAATGAGAGAGAGCAAATTAATTCGATTGAATTTCATTGGATCCAGGACCTTGTGGTGATGCGCTCGGGCTGGGAGTGGACACTGCGAAACAATCCGAGATATTCAAGAGATATAAAATTCAGGAGTTGGTGAGGAGTTCGTGGCTGAGGAACCCGGAGCAGGATTGCGCGGCCAGGTTCCCAAGGACTACTGGGGATTCTCCTGAACGTTGAATGTTGAAACGGCGGCGACCCCGGTTACGACAAGTCAAAAGTTGAAGTTGCTGACAGCTGTATTGGATAATAGCCGTTTCCCACGGCACCAAGTTGTTCGTCGGGGGGTACTCTAAGTTTCAAGGTAGCGGCAAAGACTGCGAAAGACTGCGTTGTGGCCGCTTGCTCAAGAGTTGAAGAGCCATGACATCTGCACATGCCACAAGCAAATGCCGCCAACCACTGGCAACGCTCGAGTCCCAATATTAATGCTGTCATTTGCCAGGATGATCAGAGATCCTTCCTGTGGATCCAATAGTTGTTGTCGAGTCAGGTCCGGCTTTCGTTTTCGAGTTGGCATGGATAGCTGTTACCAGAAAGTACGTATACTTGGCCTGGCAATTGAAGTCGGAGTCCAATCCCAGTCGGTAAAAGCACATCTTGCGATACATTTTCACCGACGGAAACCGTCGGTGAAACTTGGATTCTGCCGAGGATAAATCTGGCCACGCCGTAATCCTCTGTTGAGCCACAGCCCGATTCGTCTGGTTTTCTTCGTTCTCGCACGTGTGTTATTCGATTTTCATGCCCTGGTTCCATTCGACTCGGGGAGACCCCTTGCTGGTCATGGGATGCGTCCCCGAACTCTCGTTGCCCTCTTGGCTAAGTGGTTACAGCGCGGCACTTGTATCAATCGTCTTTGAACGGTTACAAGGCATGCCGAGATCACTCGTTCAACTCGGGTAGTGGGCATCCCATTTTTCTTTTTCTGCCCGCTATTTCCCACACCGGTATTTATCTACATACGAATTGCATGACACCGTACATTGAGACGACCTGGTGTGGCGCCATCATTTCCCCAGTCCCAATTTTCGTCGCGCAAGAAATCCCATGTCGGTGACCGAATTACCCAATTCGGTCGACAGCGGTTGTTTGCGTGTACTTGGCAGTCTTTCTGCCAGAACTTTGGCCTGGATCGCAGCTTCCTTAAGCCTCTATCTTTCAAGCACGGAAACGACGAATTTATGCGCAAGTCGATGGCTACACTCAATGCCAAAGCGCCACCTCTAGTCGAGCAGACGAGTCTGTGACTACCACTGGTCCGCCATCACCATAGGTCCATAGCTCCCAAATAGCTCCATTGACATCTGAAGGGAGCCAGACTCTCGGGAATCTACTGCTGCCTGTATGTTCATAATTTATTGCCAACCTAGGATAATGACGAGTCATCCTCCGCTACATATAAGTTCTTTCCCTGGCTCTAGGACTTGCCTCGGGTTTGTCTAGTCCAAGGTCCCTCTGTACTTGATCTTGCTGGCCATCTCCCAGTCTCTTACTCTGACTTACTGCCTAGGCTACATTAAATGTACATCTTTCACACTCGTAAGAGCGCGTTGACAAGGCGATCTGTGATCCTACAATAAGTACGTATGTCCAACCATCCCTGTGCCTGCGCAGTAACCCGTGAAAATCAAGTGTTCTATATATACATTGACTCAGACGGAACAGATAATCCAACTCGGAACGCGTTCCGAATCGTAGTTTTCTGTAGTGACGGAAGTCCTTCCGAGTTGAACAAATCCTGATGACTGGCATACATTCTAAATCGAGTACGGGACCTCATCGGCACGTAGCCGGGACCGTCTTGCACTGACTCGACGCGGCAGGTTTGAGGATGCTATAAAGCTCGACGCGTCCGGCTAGAACCCCTACCTCGGAATCTCGACGTTCAACATGTCTACTCAACAAGCCGTTATTCTCCCCTCTCCTAAGGCGCCGTTCGTTGTCGGTCCTCGCGATATCTCTTCCCCCCGAGAGGGGGAGGTCTTGATCAAGGTCATGTCGGTTGCCCTCAATCCCGCTAACTGGATGCAACGCGAGTACGACATCCTGATCCCGGGATACCCTGTAGTTCTCGGTTGTGACATCGCTGGCGTGATCGAAGCACTTGGTTACGGTGTAGAGGGGTTCAAAAAGGGAGACAAAGTGCAAGTTTCCGCCAATTCTCACACTGCTGCTGTTCCTTATTATTCCGCTGGTGACTCGGATAGATTTGCCTTGACTAGCCTAGGTGGATTTCAGCAATACATCACGCTTCCTGCGGCCGTGCTGATTTCCGTACGCGTAAACAATCTCGGGCTGAGCTTCCAGTGACTTTGCCTCAGATGCCGGATAACGCGAGCTTTGATGAAGCAGCCACCGTTCCTCTCGCATTTACCACCGCTTGCGTGGGCTTGCTGGCTCCTTTTCCAGCTGGCATCGGCCTCAATCCTACATTTTCCTGGGACAGCCCGCAGCAAGGTGAATCTGCGCTTGTTATCGGGGCAGGCACATCAGTCGGTCAATTCGGTGACTAATTCCCTTCCCCGTTGTTCGCACAAGTGCTCACTGCCCAAATAATCATCAGCCATCCAACTCTTGAAATTCTCCGGATTTACACGGATAGTCGCGTATGCGTCGAAGGTCCACTTCGACTATCTCCGAGGACTGGGAGCGACTGAATGTATTGATCGCACTGAGGTGTCCCTCGATTCCTTGGCCACGATCACCGCACCAGTAAAGGTGGTTTACGACGCCACATCCACGACGGCGTTGAACGCCGCACATGATTGTCTTGCCGACGGAGGAAGTATCGTGACGGCCCAGCCCAGTGCAAAGTGTGACCGGGAGGGCAAGAAGTTCACCTTGGTCTACGCCATGGGAACCTACGGGGCCGCAGAATCGAACTTGAAAGACCTCCCGCCGCAATTTGTCTTAACACCAGAGCACACGAAATTTGGGAAGCTACTTATCAAGAACCTGCCGGAGCTGATGGCGAAGGGGGCCCTCAGTGTATGCTGTTCTCCCAGGATGAAAGTATGCCTGACTTGAATCACTCTTTTTAGGCAAACCGCCACGAAGTCCTGCCGAATGGCCTTGCCGGAATTCCAGGAGGATTGGAAATAATGAAGAAGGGAGGCGTCAGTGGCATTAAGCTCGTGGCTCATCCGCAAGATCCGGTTGCATAGGAGGCTTATGGCACTCCCTTTTAAATTCATTCGCCATGTACACGAAGTGAAATTACCATTCGAGAGCCCAAGATCCCGATTTTACGCCCTTCAAAAGTGACCACGTAACGAAGGATTGCTGGTAGCATAGAGATGGTGAAAGGTGGCCCAAACCAAGCCCAAACCAGGGGCAGTTGGTTCGCCGATTCGTGGTAGCTTAGGTCAGATGCAGTGCACAGTGGTACTTCCCGTGATAAATTTTTATATTCCGCATAAATACGTGCGTAAAGTCCTCTGAGTCTGAGTGCTAGTGCAGGTAGATAGATATCTAGATCTAGATTTATCTCTCGTCGTCGTCCATGCCATGCGATCGTGATATTCTCTGTCAATCGCGCATCCCTCGAGCTCATCCCAATCGTCCCCGTTCAGCCTGCGTGACCAGCCTTGGGCGACGGTATCCCAGAAGCTCAGATCGTATCGCGAAAAAGTGGCGACCTTTTCGTCGCTCCCGGGAGCCTCGACGTTGTAATGTAATATTACATAATGTACTCATTGATGCAGCATCTTCAAAACTTAACACTTGTCTACGCGTGTTATCCGAATGTTCAATTTTTCCAAAGACATTTCAAACTTGATAGTACAAGCACAGTAACCCACCGCCATCGCTGTATTTTGCATAGATCACACTCTTCCCATCTCTTCATTTCCTTAAGCCGTTGCAAATTCGCGCAGGAACTTCTCCTGCGACTTGACTACGATATCGACATGCGCCTTCGACATCGGCTCGTCCCTGTCCGGTCAGTAAGCACTCAGATGTATATATACATCGTACAGGGACTCACGAAGCCAAGGCAAGTGCCTGCGCCGTACGGACGAGGTTCTTGATAGTACGCCCGTTGAACGGCTTCTCCGCCAGTGCATCCAGCTCCGCGTCGGAGATGGTCGAAACCTTGGTTGGATCGTCCAGCTTGACCATATCCGTAGGAGTAGACCGCCCGGACCCATCGGCATCCTCAGTTTTCACACCCGCGAGCTCGAAGAATTTGCGCCAAATGACTCTGCGGGAGTGAAGATCATGTTCCGGGTATTTGATCGCTGTCGATAATTTATGTTTACCCTACAGTAGGCACAGAATATCGACGCACCGATGGAGAAGCGGGATAAGAACGCGACATCGAAGGTTTTGATGCGGTTCGTTGTCAGGAACAGCACGCCGCGGTGGTATTCAAGAGCCCGCAGCGCAACCGATACTAATGAATTGCGTTCGATCTTTCGGGGGGGGCTCAGCAATTTCAATGGAGCTTGGGCTGGATGCATACCTCATGCAGACTCCGTTGCTCCAACAAGACCTGGGGAAAAAAACGATTTGAAATGAGAACGACAGGATACAGTTACAACACACACATCCGCCTCATCAAGCAGAAGCACACTGTCCCATGTCGACGCGAGCTGTAATAACACGTGAATAAGATGTGGTTCGTTCCATTGAAGTTGGATGGTATTACGCTGAGAATCGACTTGAGCTTCTCTTCGAGCGTAGAGGGCTTGGTGGAAAGCTCTGATGTCCCAACGATGTAGAGGGGCCGCTTTAAATGCTCTGCGACAGCTTCTGCGGTCAAAGTCTATTCGGGATTGTGTATCAATGGTTCCATTCAAAGCACCGAATGCGAGCAAACCTTGCCGGTTCCCGGAGGGCCATGGAGGACGCAAATCTAGGAGGGTATTAGTATTACATAGTTATTCGCACGCTCGAAACGCACCAGGCCACCACCTTTCCCCGTTATCACGTCGTTGATAATGTTGGATGTAGTGTTTGAGTTACGGGTGACTTGAACGAGCGACTTGATGAGAACCTGCGCCGCTATTAAATCAATCCCGAACCCACATCTCTTCAGTCACCTTGGTCTCAGGATCTAACACGAGATGATCCCACGCATTTTCGTCGAAGGAAACCGGTCCAATTTCTGTAACGGGGAATACGGACCACATCTATGATCCAGACAATTGGCGACCGTCTCGGTACTGAAAAGGGGTTTACCTTTTTAGTGAGATTGAAGCCAAAAACGCTGCCTGGAAGAAGCCACAGATTCTCGTCGGGAAAACCAGGGATCTCTTCATTCCTAAGTTGCGGTCAGAATCAACGTGCCAATCAAGACAACACGACACACGGGTCACGGTCGTAGCCGTCGGGATCTTCATATCCGAGCCTATCCACAATGATCCGATCCTACGGAAATCTGTTGCTTAAAGCGTTGAATTGTCTGGCCAGTTCTACGCACTTTATGGTCTGGAAGGAATCGGTAAGTACATACACGGCGGACGGTGAATATATGTTATACTGACAGGATCGGTAATGGCATCCGGACAGTGCCGTGTATAATCGGCCCCGGGCCACGAGCGCTGCCTCGAGTTCTGCGGTCAGTGGTTGACAAGAGAGGGATCTGAGGTCTTTGGTTCCCTAAAAGGAGAAATTAGGCGGAACGGCTGTGTTTAATGGAAGAAACGAACCCGGTAGGCGGCGATGGAGCAATGGACCGAAGTTTCAGAGTAGGAATGCCCGTTCCAGACGTACCCACTTCCCGATAGCTCCAAATACAGCATTTGCCTATTATAGGTGATCACTGCACAGCAACATGTGAATCGAGAAAACGAACTTATCGTATGCACGGTGCTCCAACTGGAAACCAGTGGCCTGCAAGTATTATATGAATTATACAGATCCGCAAGATAAGGATCCACGCACCATATTGACATTTCCGGAGTCTA